ATTTATTATGCAATTCTCTCACAAGCCATAAAATAAAAATTGTAGCTTTTTCTCTCTCATGAAAAATAGTCATCATTATAGTCATTTGGATGATAGAACTCGAAGCCTAGCATTTGCTTGCAGTGGGGTGCAATTTACTTATGTCCAGGAAAGCACATGACTGATGGTCAGATACATGGTGGAGACACAGCAGGGCACAACAGTACTAACCTCATGTACAGAGAAGGAAGCTACGTCATGGATAGGCTAAGATTACAGGGGTTTCCAGATGCGAAAGCCTGGCAGCAAAAAAAAAAAAAAAAAAAATCAGATGAGGACTTCGTCTAAAATAAAAATGCCCAGTCTTGTTTCCTAGAAATTCTGATTTCAGTTTAGGGAAGGCCCAGGAATCAATGTCTACAAAGATTGTACAGCGGATTCCGACACCAGGCCATGCTTGGAAGCTAGTACTAAGACACCCAAGGTCACCTACCTGTTTAGCAGGAGCCCTGGGGCATGAACCCCCGTCTCTAATTCTCAAACCAGAACACTCACTTCTGTGTCTGAGGAACTCCATAGTCCATTCCCCCCTCCAGTGGGCCTGACCACAGTTCTGAATCGTCCTTCTGGTACTGAATTCAACATGCTGGACGGGATGGAACAGGAAGGAGTACCCACTCCTGCCAAATAGGCTATGAAACCAAACAAAAATATCTGTCCGAAAACTGCCATTGGATCTTTAGCAAAAACTACTTTATCATAAATGAAAAGGAACTTATAGGCTGGAAATCTATAGAAACTGCCCCCGCCCCCAAACAGTCTGTTTTATCAGCAAAAAGAAATTCTTAAGAATCTTTTGGGGCCAACAAAAACAAACAAACAAACAAATGTAAATTCAGCCATAGCAGGACGGACTCAGATCACGTCCACTGACCCCCATTGTCCACACACTGCGTTCCAGCCATGGTGCTGGGCGCTTTAATTTAGCTAACATTAGCTCACATGATCCCTGCAGTGCATTTAGAGGCTGGGTTTTGGGGACGCTCAGAGAGGTTAAGTGGCTCATTAAAAATGACTGTGCTCAGCAGGGGCTGAGCTAGAACTGGGGTCCAGTTGGTGGTGGCTCCCCCTTAAGTCAGTGTTGAGTGATCCCCAGCTCTCAGGGGGGCTGTGTGCCTGTCTGACTTCAGTGATTCGGGTAAGGGCCAGGAAAGGCGTTTTCCTCGCCACCAGTTGCCTTTCAAAGGGCGATTTCTGATGGGGAGATGCTCACCTTACCCGGACGGAACCCCATCAGAGTCCTATAATCCAGATAATTGACTTAATTTTTTAAGGCATCTCAGAAGAATTTTGCGACTGTGGCATTAAACTCTATGAGATTAGAAACCAGGTATTCCCAGCACCTGGCAATAAACTATTTGTTGAATAAATGACCTTTACATAATCTGATTAAAAGGAATCAGACTCATGGAATTAGGATTATCTAGCAAAGATTGAGCTTCACGGGCCTGCGATGAGTTCAGTTAGCTTTTAAAATTAAATACCTTTGGATGTCTCTCCTTGCATATCTTTAGTAGCATCAGCATCAGGTCCTCATTTTTTAAAAAAATAAGCTCTGTAGCCACCAGTAGTTGTGATCACGGAAACCCCAGTTTTGAGTTTAAAACATTCCTCTCCTTTGTCCTGCCAACACTGTGAAGTGTAGGTATCTTCATTTCTGTCTATAAGATGATAAGTGCAGATTCAGTGACTTCTAAGAGAAAGGGATGTTTAGAAGATCAAGAGCAAAGCTGAGAATCCGAGAGTGATCTTGAACACCATACACACGTCCTGCCGAGAGTGTACGCGCTGAATGACTGCCTTGCTTCCTTGGCACTTTTCTTCTGGTGGGAAGATATGTTAAAAACACCGACAATTAGCTGAGCTTTGCTATCTTTATATAAATATAAAGATATATATATATATGTATATTTGCTATATTTTCTCGAGTGGGATTTGAATTTATACTGGTAGACTGTATAAATATGTAATTTTTTTCCTCCCGACAGGATATTTCAGAAAATGCTTTAAATGATACTGTTGTCGACTTTAAAGGGAAGCCTTAGCGTGGTTGATAACTAGTAATTTTAATTTAAGATGTCTCAAGAATGCTTTACTGTTAATTGAAAGGATTTTTTCCCCCAGTATCACAGCCAATGACTTGTCTTGAGCAGCTAATTAGTACGATTATTCCACAGCTGCGTTTGCTACAGCACAAAGGTTTGCTCCTGTTTTTATCAAAAGGATCAGTCTCTCTGGGAATGTTTTAACCTGACAGGCTTTGAATAGTCAGGCCGCTTATTTATTTATTTATTTATTTTTAAATAGCCGCCCCCCCCACCCCCACCCCTTCTTTTCTTGGCTTAGGAAAGTACATTTGAACTTTGAACGCATACTCAAAAGCGGGAAAATACATTTTCTTTTGATGCTCTTTTAGTAGAGTCTTAGCAAGTGAATAGATGATTTTAAGTGAATAGAGTTGTGGCTAGGTATTCTTATCGTGAGGGTGAGTGCATGATATTAAAATAATAAGCACGGTATTAACATTGTTCAATTTTGTGTGTGTCTGTAGGAAATGTAGGGGGAAAAAAAAAGGAAAAAAGAGTTTGTGTTTTCTGGGTTGCTGAGGGCTTCCAGGAGAACCAACATGATGGGTACAGTCCTTACTTTCGCATCTTATCGTCAAAATATTGTCTATTATAGTATAGTCTCCTTCTAGCCAAATGGTAACTTTGATCATTCAAGTCATGTCTTCGTGTTCTTAAGTTAGTGTCTAATGGCATATATTCTTCCACTGGAAAAATATTGTGGCTTTATTATAGTTAAGGAGAGAAAAGGAAATAAAAATAAATTTACCTGTAATTCCATTCTTATTCTTGCAACTGTCATCATCTTTATAGATTCCTTGCTAATCATTTTGGGTGTTTGTGTACATACACACACCATACTCATTTTAAATCAGAATATACATACACTTTTTAATCATACTTTTTAATTTACTCTTACTACATGCGTTTCCCACTGTGCTCTGTAGTTGTGCAGTGTTTTTTAAAAATAGGTAATATTTTATTGAATTCATGCATCATAATTTACTTAACCATTCTTATGGGGCAAATGCAGGCGATTCAAATATTTTGAAATTTGTAAAGAGCTTTGTAATCTCAGTTTTTCTACATTTATGTACTTATGAAACTTGTCCATCAAAATGAAATTTCTGAATCAAATTTTATGAACAACTTTATAGCTTTCTGATGACATTGTTGTTTTCTTGTAAAACAACAAGGATTGTAATAATATGTACACCAGCAATGGCCCAGAGTAACATTATCATTATATTTTTTATTGTCTTGAATAGTTTTTTTTTTTTAAACTTAGATCATACCATAAATGCTATTTTATGCTATGCTATGTGTCTTTTCTAAGTTCATTATATTGTGTAGCTTTATTAATATAAATAAATATATTCCATACCATTTTTAACGACTGCATTGCATTACATTATATGAACTGATCACAACTCACTGAACCAATTTCCTGTTGTGAAAATAAGTGAATTGCTAGTATAATTGTTATTATGTAGCTTTTCTGGGAAGGTGTGAGGGTGAAAATAACACTTCCTCATACTCTAGCATGTTCTGTAGAGTTTGAAGGTTCCTATCTTTAAGGAGTTCATAAAAATGATCAATGAGTTAAAGGTTTAATTTAGCTTTTAATTAGAAGACTAAGACAATACTGGGGTGTATACTGAAGCTCAAGGTACAAATACTTCCCTTGAAGGGTGACTTTTTTAAGAGCGAATATTTATTCAAATGTTTCTTTTGCTGTTTCCAGTTGCTAAGGTTTGGTACTGTTTGCCCCAAACAGAGATTTAAAAAAAAAAATTATATTGAGAGAAATAAACAATGAAATTATCTAGATAATAATAAGACCAATAGCAAACATTTATTGAGGCAGTATTACATGCTACTCATTGTACTAGAAGATTCATGTGCATTGTTTTATTCAGCTTTCACAAAATCCTCTAGAAGTAGGCCTTTGAAATATAAATGATGCAATAGAAATTTTTAAAAACACCTTCCATTTTTATAAACAGGTAAGTGGGTAAAAAACTATTGCTATTTTTCTTTTGACATCATCGAGCTGGCAAGATAAGCAATCAGAAACCATATTTAGGACAATTAGGAAGTCTTTTTTTCCTAACTCATGACTAATGTTTCAGCATTTTAGAGAATTTTGGGTGCAGTGAGTAGCAAAGCCATGGTAGCCCTCATGGGCAAGGTGCCGAGAACGCATAGTAACGGGCATGCCAAGGTGAATCAGAAGAAAAGATGGCACAAAGAAGGCCAGGCGGAGAAGAATTGGGTTGTCAAACCAGCTGGTCTTCTGCCCCCTTGCCCAAAGACTGAGGTCGAGTTCAGTGTTAACATTCTGGTCCAAGTGCTTCCTTCACTAATGATTTTTACTTTCCACATCTTAGAAAAGTTTGCTTTTGGCAAAACTCACCTTTACTTTAATTCCTTGTTAGTAAACATTTTAGACATCTTTAAGGAATTTAGATAACACGTAGGAGTAGTTATTTGGTTCGACTCGGTTGTAAAAAATAAAAAAACAGCAAATCAAGCAATTTATTTTTAAATGTGGAAATTTGGGTGCCATTAAGACACACTGCTTCTTGGCAGTACATATGGCGGCGCTATATTTGGTGGTGATGAGTCGTGTGCAGGATAAAATGTCGAAAAAAAAATTGAGCCTCCTGATAAAAAAAATGCCTAGTGCAATCAAGCTGACTTATTTTAATTCAACTCCTAATGACTTCAATCCTGTCACCTCTTGATTTTCAATTATGTGGAGTACCACTCTGCGCCTTGATTATATTTGCACAGGCTCGTTTTATAGTTTGGTGCAATTTAGGATACCCCAAAGTGCCAGCGAAGGGGCTCATTAGGGAACTAAACGTTGTGTGCCTTTTGGTTTTCCCACAGCAGTTCCGCGGAGCATCCTGGGGCGTCCAAGCCTCCGATAAGCTCCTCCAGCATGACATCACGCATCTTGCTACGCCAGCAACTCATGCGTGAGCAGATGCAGGAGCAGGAGCGCAGGGAGCAGCAGCAGAAGCTGCAGGCGGCCCAGTTCATGCAACAGAGAGTGCCCGTGAGCCAGACCCCGGCCATCAACGTCAGCGTGCCCACCACGCTGCCCTCTGCCACCCAGGTGCCAATGGAAGTCCTTAAGGTATGTGAGCGTTGCTCTTGCTGGTGGGACCAAACCTTCCATTTCCCATTTGCAAGGAGTTTTGTTTATCTGAACATGTATTTGGTTATACCGACCCAACAGAACCGTATTTCTAAACGCCAACCCCACCGATTCCTATGTGGCTTAGTATTTTAAAAGAAACGAACTGTAACTGTAATAGAAACCCTCAATAAATGGCCGAAAAGTGTCAGTCCTCCATGAGGAATTGCAAGAAGGAGTATCTACGCCTTGCTTTGTTGTCATGACATCTTTCCATCTTTCTTTGGGAAAGTTACAAAATGTAGAAGTTATCTGAAACAGACCTCTTCCAATATATATTGTATATATTTTTTTCTTAAATACATTCCATGGCAACTCTTTAATTTTCTCTTTATGTAGCAGATAAGGTGGACTACAGAATCTGAAAGTCTTTTAGAAAGTGTCTTCAGATGTAAAACTGGAGAAGAGCTCTCTGCACTTTAATAACCAGACTGCATAATCCTTTTACTGAAGCGAGTAGTCTGCTTTGGGTCTCTTTGATTTCTTGCTAGAGTAGAAACTGCAGGAGCTTGTTAGCATCATTCTATCAGGGACATATAGCTTCCTAATTACTAGGGAAAATAGTAACAAGTCTAAGAATAGAATTCCATCTCACACATGTCTTCCACATCACAGAAGGAGATACTCCTTGTTTAAAGATAAACATTTCAATTGTTAAATATGACTGATTCAGGGAAAGTTAAAGTAGGGAAACTTCCTTTCCTTTTATTCATTTTTAATTTTTTTACCTACTCACCCAGCGGATTCCTTCTGAAGAGTCCCAAGTGTTGCTGTTCATTAAACAATGTGAACTTTACATGCTGATGATTCATTATTGGTCTTTGCATTGATTTGGGTGCTCAGAAAAAAAAACAAAACACGTCTCCCACTATTTAAAGTTTACTACTAAAGCAAATAGAGAGATGTTGTTTTATAATCAGAAATCAATATGTAATCCTTACCAGGAAGTAGGAAAGGGATTCTTTAAAAACAAATTTAAAGCCAATTATTTTTTCTTTGTAAAGACTCTTTTAAAATGTAGTGACGGACTAATGGAACCTTTTGATAAAGAAACCAACTGAAATTCTGTTAGGGCAAAAATGTCCCATATGGTTTAGCATAAAATTTTACTCTAATGTGATTGTTTAAAATTCTGGATACTGCCAGAATTAATAGATCGCTTACTCTCCCCCTACCCTTCTTTCAAGTAAAGCCAAAGGTTTTCTCTCTGGGATAGATTATACATGGAATCTTTCTGTTCTGCTTGGGTGAAAATTGGCAGTCACAAAGTTATTATAGGTTTAAGATTTATTTAAGATTTAAGTTGTCTTGTGTTTGTAAGAATCATAAATGTTTGGTCTATACTTTAGGTTGTTTAAAGTTGTATGAATTAATAGTAATAAGATGTGGAGAAATATGTATTTTACTAGTCATAATAGTTTACTATTTTAATCTGAAGGGCAAATTTTAAAAGAGTTGACATGGATTTGGGTGAGTAGGGGTTTATGTCCAATATGAAGGTAATGTTTGAAACTATATTTAAGTATATTAAGTGAAATCAATATTCTTATTAAGGCAGTTACATCTGATGGCAGGGAAATGACCCAAATGCAAATGTGTTGAAACATCATTTCCATATCATCTTAAAAATGGGCATAATTTCTAAATGTTTTTATTACTTAAAATATATTATTTTTGAAAATGATTGAAATTAAAATCTACATTAAATGGTTTAAGTAACATGCCCATTTTTCCTTATATGTTGCCCTGGCCTGGTAACACTGGACTGAGCTGCAATCCCGAATTTAGGTATGCCAGAAAAATGTCTAAAGTTAAAGCACAAGTAAATTATTACAGCTGGAAGACATAACCTAACTAAAAATAAGTAATTGGTAAATTTATATTTTATGGTAAATATAGCTTATTTCTGCTTAACTTTTGCTTCTTTATACTTTAATTATTTAAACCAGTGAAGCATGTGATATAAATGAAAAGAAAGAATTGTTGGCATAGCCATATTTGATAGCTATTTAGACAAATTTTAGTACCCTTAAGTGAAGAATATATGATTTAATATAAGGTGATATTCTAAGAAATTCAAGTAATATTTAAAAGAGCATTGTATAAGTGATTGCTTCAGACACTTAAAGACTTATTACTTTATAAAAAATGGTTTGCATATTTTCAAAAGTTTTGTGTATAAAAATATTATTATGGAATACTTACTATAGAAAGATAAACGAGAGAAAGGTGGTCATTTTTTCTTTTCTTTTTTTATAGTTTTAAAATCATAAGCATAGTTTCATGAAATAGTTAATAGCAAAACGGTTATTTACTACCATTTTTCCATGAACACACATTTTCCAAAAATGGTAAAACCAAGTATACTAATTGGGTGCTTTATCATGCAGATTATACTGAATAAATATTTTCTCATAATATAGCCTGAGTAAATTTTTCGTTTTAATTTTTAAAGGTTTAAATTGCTAAAACAGAGCATACCTGCTTCTCAGTGGAGGAAGACGTGTACAATTAGACACGCTAGCATGTGCTAGAAAATCTGGTTAAATCCTTCCATCTGCCAACTGGTTTGCAAGACCCTGATACAAGAAAGGTCATAGTTTAGTTTTCTTTCTCTCTCTCTTGCTGCCTCACAGACACTTAAGTTACCTGCATTCTACTCTCTGTGGGTTGAATGATGGATTTCGAAAAGCTAAATTAGTATTTTCAGGTTAATCCCTTTCCTTGGCAGAGCTAAACTTAAAATATGAAACTTTATAAAGCATGTTTAAAAATTGTCGAAATCTGGCAAACTTAGGACGAGTCAGAATTCATACTAGATGTCAGAAATTTGCATCACGCATTCCTCAATACAGGAAGCTCGTCACTAAGCTTGTAAAGCTTTGCAGGATTGGCCTCTGGTTCTTATATTGATTTCATAATTTATACATTTATTCCTCTTATTGATTTTATCTTGAGTGACATGGATGCTGAATCTTACTGCTGTGTATTTACATACTAAAGCTATTCTCTAAGTTTCTCAAAAACAACTTTATCTAGTTGGGGATTGTAATTTAAGGATGCCTCTTTACCATAAATTAACCGACATTTGGAGTGCATAATGCCTTTTTCCACAGTAGTGAACATACTCTGTATTTCAAACCGTGAGTTAACAACAACAAAAAATCATTAGGAACTATTAATTGAAGTGGTTTCTTCCACGGATGGATTTGGTTGACATGTGAATCACACAAACCTCAGGTTTGAAATTTGATTTCGTTTCTTTCAAACGAAATCAGAGAGTCACCAGGGACAGACCTTGTCGATGTGTCAGGCCTGAGAGCTAGGGAGGCACTGTGGTACCAGCCACGGAGTTATCATTGGCACACTCCTCAAGCATCTGTTTCCACCCTCTCATCTCTCTGACTTTGACTGATTGTAGAAGCCCTTGGTTGCTCGGATCCTGGACTGGCCAAGTTCATCAAGATTTCTTTCCCGACTCCCTTCCCCAACACGACTCTGACAGTTTACAGCTTGAAAGCATTAGTTTGCAGTTTGAAAATGTTTCTCTGTTCAGGAATTTGTAAGGAATTGTCAAGGATTTCCCACTGTCCTCTCTTTCCCTCCCTCTTTCCCTCCCTCTTTCCCTCCCTCCCTCTCTCCCTTCCTTTTGTCTTAGAATTTGAAATTTTAAAGACAGTGTCCTCTCTGGAAGACATTGTACATTGAATTTTTCTGTTCTGCTAAGGAGAAAGGCTATATGTATTTAACTTTTGGTTATAGGAATTTACTTTTGGATATCTTATTTTAAGTAGTCTGAAGAAATTTATTTTTAAATTTTCCCTTTTTTCCAAATCATCTCAAGAGTTGGGCAAATTGCTCTGCAGTCAGAAATGATGTTTACTGTTTGCCAAATACAGAATCGCTTTTTGCCAGGACCTTCTGTATTGTAAACTAAATTTACTTGGGCATTTATTTGGTGGCAACTCCATCCGCGTTGCACCCTGCTCGGGTAGAGATGCTAGCGGGTTGGAATGAAAGTTCTGCGTCCTTGTCACCCTGTCCCCCAGCTGGTGTTCAGTGAGCTTTCCCGAGTGAGGGAAAAGTTGGTGGCTGAATTGCTTGTCTCCCTCTGTAAACTACAAAATCTACATGGAGTAGAATTTCCAAGGTGTGACTTTTTTTTTTTATAATACAGAAACATGAAAAAGAGCATGTAGAGTTACAGGTAGGTTGATGGGTTACGGATTGACAGAAGGGATTTCTTTCACCCCAACGTTTAGATTTTGTTTCCGATTTTTTTTTTTAGCCAGGAATACAAATCCTGAATCGCATCATGGTGGCGGCAGGAAGCCAGAGCAGATGCAGCGTGTCTCAGATCAGCTTGTCTTGGTCCCCTTAGTTAGGGGACTTGTTTCCATAGGTGTTGTCCCCATAAGATAAGGACCTGCTACGTGTGAGATTTCTTCTAATACCACAGTCCATTCATACACGGGCCACCGTATACGGGCCACACACAGTCTCCCGGCCTTGATTTCAGGAATCATTTATATACACTGCTGTGCTTTTGTTTTTGATTGGATTTGGTGTCTGCAAGGCCACATTTTCATTCAGGGGGAAAAAGGACTCAGTTTCCAGGTTCCACAAACAGTTCTTGATCCTCCCAGAGACTTAATTTCCTTGTAGTCTTTGAATAATTCAAAATCATTCAGTGTCACACATAAGGTAATTTTCTCTCTCTTGAAAACTCATTTTATTGATTTTTTTTTTTTAAATTGCAGACAATACCTGTTAACTTTTAACAGATTAGAACAACTAGGAAGAACAATCCAATAGGAAACTGTTTCTGCCCACTTCGGCCATGGCCTCTCCATGGTGCTTTCTGCAGGGGGCTGCTGTTAGCAGTTTAGGGTGCAGCCTTCCTGGCATGGTCGGTTTTCCAGCCTTGCAGTCAGTTGCCT